ATGAAATTCTCCAAAAATTAATAAAGTTGAAGATATAAAGCTCATTTTTCTATATTTTTCACAGAATATTGCTTTTAATAGACTTCATATTTTCTTCTTAATTATCCTTTACAAATATTTATTGGCTGAAGAAAATAATTCCGAAAGCTTATATAACTAAAACCCATTGACGCAACATTCCGATAATGCATTTTTTTCTGGTCTCTGGTCAAAAGATGAAAGAAATGTGCAGAAATGAATAGCAGATACTTTTAATGAAAAATAACTGTCCATCTTTTGGTTGTATTGCTAATATAAAATCATATAACCTTGTAGTATCTCCCATTAGCGACTAAATGATGAAGATACTACTTCCTTGAGCGACCAATATTTGATACTTGAACTAATTCAAGCATTGTTTAAAACTTCATATAGTGAGTACGATCATTGAGCGGGCCTGACTCATCTGCGTTGAATTCTTACAGCGGTTTCGCCAGTTTTAAAATTAGATAGATTTAATATTGTAACAAGCTGTCTAGATAATTAATATGGTAATTTTGGTGAATTCTTGGGGGTTTGGCTCATCATATTCATCTTCTTTTTATGGTATCAATGAGCCTGTAGAGCCTTTCGTCATGTCCAATGAAGAGCCTCAGATATCTCCATACATCTCTATCACAGAAGTACCAATTCTCTATATATTGGGTGTGTAAAGCTGCTGCTCTAGGTCCATTTAAATTTTCTGCAAGGCTGCGGCCATTGCTGGACATGAGACTATGATAGTAGGTGTTAGTTGCACACCAGGACAGTTGTTACATGTCCTATAGGTTCTTGTGCCATCTGGATGTATTGCCATACCTTTATAGTGCACTTTGAGTGACTTCAGTGATACACTTAGATTATGTATAAATAGTTAAAAAGGAATTCTCACTTGGACAACGCATCGCTTTACAGTCATTGGGATATCATCGTTGAGGTAAGACTCCATAGTGGTTGATGTATAGAAATGCTTATAGTGAGAATAAAGTACAGAATATCTTATTCTTGCATAATCCAATAATTAAGAGAATAATATTTTTACCATTATAACATTCATTCCATAAATATAATGCTGCAAAGATATAGAGATATTCTAATTTGTAAATCAGTATAACTAATGTGTGTTTTAAACCTGATTCCTTACATAACAAATCTCTCTGAATTGATAGCTGTATAAGAAGTGTATTTCGTCTGCATCAATATTCCTTCCAAACTATTCTGTTCGCGCTCAAATCTTATTTTTTTCCAGAAAATAAATTTTTTGGAGAAACATTATCTCGTTTTTATCACCCAGCGCCCTTTCAATTTATTATCTTTTCCACCGTGGAGGAAATAAAATCTTTTCTTGTGAAGCCTCAAATTTTATATTACATATATATATAGCCAGGAAGGGATCTAGAATATAGAGTTACTACCGGCTTCGACTGGCTGTGATCGTTTATGTAACATTGAATTATATCATGGATTTTTGGTGTAGCGAAAATGGTCGCTCAATAAGTTCGATGCACAGGGAGGTGGTCGCTCAGGGAGGTAGTTACCTAGAGAGGTAGTCGCTCAATGAGAGGTTACTTATAAGTACAACAGAACCTTCCTTTAGCGTGCACCCCACTAGCCGGCACCTCTCTACAAAGGACAGTTTTCATTTTCAAAATTACCACACCGATACAGTATTAGAGCTCTAAAGAAGCGGTCTAGTAGATTAAATATAACACAGTATTACTATCTCTAAAGAAGCGGTTTGGTAGATTGAGAATCGGCGAAACCGCTGGGAGGGTTCACCACTGATAAGCCAAGCCCTCCCAATATATTTTTCATCGCAGTAAGGGCAGTAGAAATTTGTATAATATATAAAAGAAACATTCGTGCTTTAATATCTTTATTTATTATATATATATTTAGTGACATATATACAGTATAACCTCTCTGTAAAGGACACTTAATTGCCGTGCCAACGTGTCCTTTAGTGAGAGATGTCCTCTTACCGTAGAGTTGCTAAATTGTAAAAATGGTAATTTTGCAAATGAAAACTGTCCTTTGTGGACAGGTGTCCGCTAAAGGGAGGTTCTACTGTATATGATAATTCAGGGAGTAAAAATTTATTTTAACACCTGTCATATTTAGTTATCCTCGTGAGAGGTTCTATTATAATAAAATAACAAAAATATGACTAAAAAAACACCTCAAATTATCTACCATTGAAGCATATTTAAGATATTTGAAGTTATTTAAATAGAAAGATTCAAATGAAGCATTGGAAAAAGGTCGATTATAAAATGGAAGGATCCATTACAAAACAAGGTACCGTCAATATTGAGGATGAACAAGTTGTAATTATACGCTAGCTCTTCGTCGGCTGTCATTACATTTTACCCCAAGTTTTTAAACGGGAAAACATTGATCCGCTATTGATTTTAAAAAATGTATTCTTGTTTGGAATTTGAGGAAAGTATTTGTGCAATAGAGAGAATGTTATCCAACTATATATATATATATATGTCGTATATTTTAAAACTGTATGACACTTTTAGTATATGTCACATATCTTCCAATTAGAGCCGATACCTTATATTATCCTACCTTTCTATTGTAATGTACACTATTTCTATTTACTACCACCCCATATTCTGTATATAAACTATCTGTATTTTTACCCCCTATTTGTATTTAAAACTAAAAATGGTGACGTCAAAATAAAGTACCAAAGAGTGTTCGGTCAGCTGGTGGCATGAACAGAGGGGAGGAAAAAGGCAACGCCCAGCCCATGTGGGGTCCCGAGGGACATTTTTATAGACGACCCCTGTAAACAGGACAGGTTTTGGGCAGGGAATCAGCAGATGTTCTAGGGTGTGGCCATCGGCAGACGGCTTCTGTCTCGCACACAGTCTCTCTCTCCATGTCTCGGTGATAAGCATCCAAGTTTGTGTCATGGCCTCTACCTCTGCCCCGTGGGCTGTCCCCGATCACTCTCGATGCTAACATCTAGCCCTCCCTCTGCTTCTTGTTGTCCGCGTGTGGGAAGAACATAAACACTCGCCTCACGTACACGACTGCCAGCTTATCCATACATCGACATTTGCAACAATATTACATATATATATTTATATATATTTAAAATAGGGCTCATTTTGAATTTAAAAAGTTTTATTAATCCAATATTTTGTTGGACCAATCGTCCATCTTTTACGAAGGTTTTTTGTTATGAAGCATCCAGCAGGTCGCGGTGAGCCACGGACCTCTTACAAGCTTGTTGGGCGATAAACCATCTATGATATATAGTGTAAAAAAATTGAATATAAACAAATCCAATGTAATATATGAAGCCATTTAATTAATTAAATATATAAATAACAAATAAATTTGAACTCCATCAACAATTAAAATAAAATAACTTGGGGGAAAATATATATAAATATATATATCATAATAAATATCTAAAATTCAAGAAATATATAAAAAAATATATATTTATATGTTGTAATATATTCTATGTATATTGAAGATTGAGCAATCATTAATTAAAATATATTCAACAAAGATACATATATTGTGTATCCATAAATATTTTATTGTTCCAATATTTCGAGGGGCAACTCGCCTCTCTTTATCGAGGATGTTTATGTTTTTTACTAAAACATATGAGCACGCGTACACCACTCTCGTTCTACAAGGCCAATGAAAGAATTTAATAAATTCTTAATTAATTTAATAAATTAATTATAAAATACCTATAAATTCAATATAAGAATATTTAAAAAAATACATATTATGAAAAAAAGAAGATTTCTGCTGATTTTGATTATCTTGAGGATTATGCTATGGTAATGCAGTCGTGGTTAAAATCTTGAAAGTATAATAAAAATAATAAAGATTAGAAACAGCTTTTATTGAGCTTATGGGATATATAAATAACATAATTCGATAAAATTACTGCCTGGCTTAAGGCGTAAGAATCTAAAAAATAAAAAACTTATTTACATAATGTAAAAAGATTTGAGCCGGCCATCGGGAAACAACAAAAATGAGTTTTTATAGGGGAAGCGTGACCTCTGGCGGTCGTTTTAGCAGAGTATTTGAATCTATGAAATATAATTTTAAATAAAATAATATTTTAATATAACATATATATAGAAAAATAAAACGGAGATAGAAGAGGAGTATCTAGTGCGAATTTTATTAGCAATTTTTCGGACGCATGCGTCCTTCTACAGACTTTTTTACGATTTATCGTTGCTGGTTAGATCAGGGAAGACAAACTGAAAATCTCTGAGCCCTATTCTAAGACTGGCTTCAGAATTACATCGCCGTGTCAAAGATGATGTCTCAAAAGACTTTATGGCGATAAGGCCGCACTTCAAGCAGAAAGAAAAAAATAGGTAAAGCTCCCCTAAGGACAGTTTTCAAGACGCTAAGGAAGAACTAGAACGAAATATGCAAAATCCTTGTTAATAGCAAAGAAATGGGTCACTATGGGTGACAAAACTATGGGTCACAGCTACTGTTAAGGTTCCCTTGTCCTTAACGGATAAAAAATTATATGGATTTTACCTTTAGAGGACTGTATCTGGTTTTCTTGCCACCAAGGCCTTCTGCACTCCCCACCTTTTCAACTACCCAGGCGATACCCCAATGGTGATTCAACTACCCAGGCGACACCCCAATGGTGCCGATAATGACTCAACCAAAGAAAGATAAACCACAACTAATTAATAATCACACACTCACTCTTTTATTAAAAAAAAAACTCAATCTCTATATATATAAAAGTCAATTCCTGTCTGTCTGTCTGTTTCGCGATAAACTCAAAAACTACTGAAACAATTGGTTCCAAATTTTGCATGTCGCTTTTTATAAACCTGAGGAAAATTTTTGGCTACATTTTGCTTATTATTTTTGGCTATTTCTTTTTTTAATTTGAAGAACTATTTTTTTACGCGGACTAATCCGGAATGGAATGAATACCTAAATATGGCCATTTTTTAAAAGCCATCGGTGGCTTTGTGGTAGAATGCTCGCATGCCACCCGACGGCCCGGGTTCGATTCCCGGCCGATGCATTTTTTTTTTACAATTTTTAAAACTGATTTATAAAAAATATAATATAAATATATATATACTATTATATCAACTATATAATTAAATCAAATACCTAAACACTAATCTCTATATATATAAAAGTCAATTTCTGTCTGTCTGTCTGTTTCGCGATAAACTCAAAAACTACTGAACCAATTGGTACCAAATTTTGCATGTCGCTTTTTATAAACCTGAGGAAAAATTTTGGATACAATTTGCTTAGTATTTTTGGCTATTTCTTTTTTCATTTGAAGAACTTTTTTTACGCGGAGTAATCCGGAATGGAATGAATACCCAAATATGGCCATTTTGTATACGCATCGGTGGCTCAGTGGTAGAATGCTCGCCTGCCACGCGGGCGGCCCGGGTTCGATTCCCGGCCGATGCATTTTTTTTTAACAATTTTTAAAACTCATTTTATATTATATCTTCTATATATATAAAAATGAATGTTTGTATGTTTGTTTGTTTGTTGGTTTGTATGTCCGGTATACAAATTCGCAGTAGTTCACTAATTCAAACCAAAATTTCCATACATAGGTAAAAAAAAATACGAGGAAAACGATAGGCTATTTTAAATTATATATAAATTAAATATTAAAACTATATATTCAAATTATTCTACTTAGCTCACGAACAGCGCCCTCTATCAAGGTTATAAATACGTTTAAAATCGAAATCTTCTCAAAATTTTATTAATAATAGTTCGCTTAATAATTAGAATACTTGATCTAAATCGAAATATTTATAGACGCTCGCTCGATTTGAAGATTTATATCGTAACTAATCTGACTGTAAAGTTTGGAGCGGGACGTTTCACAAGAGTGACATCCACGGCGCCAATTTATAATTGTAACGAATAGTGTTTGAATAAAACATTTAATCGGGTAAACCCGGGCGTTGCCCGGGTCATTCGCGTCTAGTTATATATAAATATAGTCATTAGTCAATATATATATAATCACAGAACAATACAATTAAATATTAATAAACAAAGAACATATCTCTCAAAACTCAATAGCTACCATAAAAAAGAGCAATGTAGCAGAATCTTCTGACGCTATTCAATATACTTGTTCACAGTATTCAGTATTTTCATATATTTTTTTATTTGTTCAGCATCTTTTATTTGTTTTTATTATTCTTTCATATAAATAAGTTGGTAATTGTTTTGATCAGAGAATATATCTTTGTCAATCACACATTCGTCTTTCTTTATTTTTCAAAGTCAAATTATTACATATTATTACAAAATTATTTTATAATAGAGTAGAACCTCCTTGTAAAGGACACCTAATTGCAGAGCTAAAGTGTCCTTTAGGGAGAGGTTCCCTCATATCGGAGAGTTGTTTAATAGTAAAAATGGTAATTTCGTAAATGGAAACTGTCTTTTGTAGAGAGGTGTCCACTAAAGGGAGGTTCTACTGTATTTTCTCTCAAACACTGATGATTTAAAAATCTTGATTACATGATTTTTGAAACATCATTATTTATTTTAATTAACTTACATCAATTATATATATATTAAAGATTAGAATTATTTTTGTGTTTTGTTGTTGAAAAGAGGTGTAGTCGTGAAAAAGTAACGATAATTATTTACCTTTCAAGCAGATTTTTATTTTGAATCACTTGAAGCAAATTACACATAAAATTATTTTTATCACAGTAATATAAAATTCAGAAAATGAATTCTATATTCGTGATTTTAAAAATAGGTAGGGTTAACTTAACATATTTACAACAATAATAATTAAAAGTGGTATGTTTTGCATCTATAGTCAAATATATATAACAGTCAATGGATGAAAATAAAATATGTTTTTAAAAAATAAAATAATTGTATTTTAGATTATACAAGGTATGTCCCATAAGTTCCCGGACTGGGTCCATAAAAAAAAAAGGTAAGATTTTTTAAAAAGATTTTTATTAAAACTTTTCAAAGTAATCCCCCCTTGCTTCAACGCACCAGCGCCATCGTTTCTCCCAATTGTCGAAACAGTTTTTATAAGCCTTTTTTGGAATGCTCTTCAATGCTAACGGCGATTTTTCTATTATGTCATCCCTGGTGTCAAAATGTCTTCCTTTTAGAACTGCTTTAAGTTTGGGGAACAGGAAAAAGTCATTTGGTGCGATGTCTGGGAAATAGGGTGGTTGAAATAGGATTTGTGTCCCGTTTTTCGCCAAAAAAGCTAGTCATCAAGTGCGCTGTGTGAGGGCGAGCATTGTCATGGTGTAGGATCCAGCCACCATTAGTCCATTTTTCTGGCCTTTTTTTTTCGAATCGCTTCCCTTAGACGGCGAAGAATGCCCAAATACATTTCCTTAATAACTGTTTGGCCTGCAGGAAGATACTCGTGATGAACAATGCCCTTGTTATCCGAAAAAGCGACCAGCAACACCTTGTTTCTGGATTTTTTGGGTTTAGGCTCACCCTAACCTCTCCACTCGGCAGATTGAGGTTTGGTTTCAGGGTCATAGCCATAGACCCATGTCTCGTCGCCTGTGATTATCTTGTCTTTCCATTCTGGATCCGTTCTTGTCATTTCCATCGTGTCCTCACAAGTTGCAAGCCGACACAGTTTTTGCTCATTGGTGAGGAATCTTGGATGAATTTTGCAGGAGTCTTTTTGAGCTTCAAATCTTCGGTTACGATCCTTCCAATCGTTGTTTTAGAGATGCCTGTGTCTTGCTCTAGCTCCAGCAAAGTGGTTCGAGGATTTTTTTTTTTCAAATCGGTGATTATTTGCACATTTTCATCAGTCCTTTTGAAATTTTGGGCGTTCTTGACGAGGATCATCTTCAATGGAAATTCTGCCAGCTTTAAATCTAGAATGCCATTCAAAAACAGTTGTTCTCTTTGGGGCGTCATTGGGTAATGCTTTATTAAGCATTTCAAAAGTTTTGGTTGCTGATATTTGAAGTTTCACACAAAATTCTATGCAAATCCTCTGCTTCAATTTTTGTTCCATCGTAAAATCGCCGCAGCGCTAGGTGTGACCTTTAAATAAATTAGAATAACCTTGGCGCGCGCGCAAGTACCGCCTCGATATTGGTACCACCGTGTAGCCAGATATTTTTTCTATAATAAACAGTCAAATTCATTTACATTTTTCATTTATTTATTTTTTTATGGACCCAGTCCGGGAACTTATGGGACATACCTTGTATAATATATATACAATTAAATTTTAATAAAAAACATTTTAAATTATTTATTCTAAAGTTTCAGAGTGACCTTCTGTCTCCCTTTTTATTGAAAAGGTAGGCCTTTTGGATTTGGCAAAGTTAGTGTTGTTCTGTCACTGATCCGAAACGGTCAATACAGATTGCTAGTTTTAGAGTCTCTTTTGACGTGAGTGGTCTCATTTCTGTATAGGCCTTAGTTATGGTGTTCGATTAATGTGTGATGTATATAAATCGAATACTTTACGTAAATTACAAATGTGGTGTTTGCTGCAGGTAATATTCTAGTAATTGCTGTCATGGCCGCTAGGAGGCGGTTACGGACTGTCACCAACTTCTTTCTTCTGAACCTCGCCGTGGCTGATCTCTGTGTCGGGGTATTCTGCGTCTACCAGAACCTGTCTCTCTACCTGGCGGAATCGTGGACTCAGGGAGACTTCCTCTGCCGCATGTACCACTTCGTGCAGAGTCTGAGTTATACGGCTAGCGTGCTAATCCTCGCTGTCATCGCTGCAGAACGCTATCTTGCCGTGCTTCATCCCATCGGTAGCAAGCATCTACTTACCAGGAAACGTCTACATGGTACCATGGCTGCTGTTTGGACCATCAGTGCAGCATTCTGTGCCCCACGGCTTGCCATTGCCGGAACTGTGACTGTGCCTTCCGAATCATCTCATGTAACGCTGTGTGTTCTTCGACGTTCGGTATATAATTCTGAGCTGTACGATGTCTTTACGTTTGTTGCTTGTTTCCTCTTACCATTGGTGCTCATGTCAATCCTGTACTGTGCTGTAGGGACCCGATTATGGCGTCGTAACGAGGAAACCTGTCCAAGAAATGGTACACATATCATGGTAGCTAGAGGTAGTAGTATCGCGTGTCGAGATGTACTTGATGTGACCAAAGTCACTTTTGGCAGCGATTTTGAACTGTCACCTAACAATAGTATCAGTTCCTTTGAACGTACATCAATACATGTTCAGTTTCGACGTAGCGCGGCGTCAACAATGATAAGTGGAAGAAGAAAAGTGGTTCGTCTGCTTGTAGCGGTAGTTCTTGTGTTCGCAGGATGTCATCTGCCATTCCACGCACGTAAACTCTGGCAGCATTGGTCTCCATCCTATCGAGGTGGTAGTGCAAGTGCAACACGCCTCACTATCGCCTCAACTCTACTGATGTACGCCAACTCTGGGCTGAATCCTGTACTGTATGCATTCCTCTCAGCATCCTTCCGTCGCTCCATGATCCAGATGCTTCGATGTGAAGGCGCAGTACGTGGACAGAATGGCAAAAGCACACAGACCTTCCCTTTACCACAACATCCGCATCTTGATGTACATTCGGTCTGATTGATCCGATTTGTATTTATTCTGAACGATTAAATATCTTTTTATCTCGTATCGACTTTTTTCTTCGTGCTTCTTTACCATTTGAAAACTAATCTTCTAAAGGTAAGGAACATACATTAGCAGAAAGATTGTTGTCAGTAGCTTTCCCATCAAGTCATTTTCGACCTTTGAAGACTATATGCACAAATATATCTATATACATTCATGAAAAAAAAAACTCGAGGAAATGGAAAATCTTTGTTGTGGTCTATTTATTAAAGGATAGACAGGCAAATTGATTCACACTTATTTATTTCATGTATTTTCAATAAAGGTCACTGTAATATCTTTCAGAGTTATTGTCTGAATCCCGATATACATGCTAAAAGGTACAACTTCCTTAAGTTGTGTCCAGGAGTGTATATTTCAGAGTTATTGTCTGAATACCGATATACATACTAAAAGGTACA